GATGACGCGTATACAGCTCTTTCCATAAATCATCAAGAAAGCATCAAGAGACAGAGAGCAGATGCAACAGAATACTATGCAGGAGGAAAGAGGAGAATCTTGAGAATGAAACCGTTTATAGACGCGTTTCACCAAGGAAAATGGATCGTCCCCAAAACTCTTTTGGAATTGGAATTTTATCTGAATCCAGCAGCTTTATTCATGAATGGAGAAGCCAATCCACCCAGTGAGGAAGTCCGAGTCAACCCAGAGGATATTAAACTTACCTTCTTTCTATGTCTGGTGTCCCTAAACCCAGCCGTCTACATGAGCATGATGAGTATGATGACCAAAACCCCAACCAAGTATCCCATGATCCGTACCGAGATGAGACAGTTTCCCCTAGACAATGGGGCCACTTCTAAAGAAATCAACAACCCATTCAATGGAAAGGTGCCCCAAAGAGTCATCATTGGTATTCTGAAAACTACTGCATTCAATGGTCAATACAACGAAGACCCCTTGGCCTTTGAAAAATTTGGGGTGGAATACATCAAACAAATTGTGAATGGAGAAGAATACCCATACGAGACTTTGGAACTCAACACGGCTAATGGTCAAAAAGACTTGGTGGGTTATCACCGATTTCTGGATGCTACTGGCTGTCTGTACAGAAATGCAGGAAACATGGTGCGATTCAAAGACTGGGGTCATGGAAAAAATTGCACGCTGTTTGCGTTTTCCAATGTGGCCAATGGAAGACACGATGACCCGGTTCTTCTACCTAAAAATGAAGGCTTCATCAACATTCACATTAAATTGCAGGGCAAGCAAGTCAGAAAACGGTGATCGTTTATGCTGAATATGAAGGCATTATGGAAATTGATGGCATTAAAGGAGCTACCACGATGGAAGTGCATTAGTGATGGAGTTTGTGTGGCTTACTACGAATCAACTCAACGCTTTAGCGGATAGCGATCCAGAACTCCGCAAGTACTTTGTGAGTGCTTTAGCCTGTGACGAACTACCCGAGTCGCCTGAACGTGTCAAACCGAGAGCTTACATTGTCAATACTCACCCTGCAGACAAACCTGGGGAACACTGGATAGCTGTGTGGACCGAACACGATAGCTGTGAAATTTTAGATAGTTATGGTTTAGATTTAACCACCTATGAATTTCTGACACCATTCATTGTATGGTTAAACCGATGGCCTTACGTGCGTAAAAATACTCGAGCATTACAATCTGTAAAAACCGCAAGTTGTGGAAACTATGCCATCATTTATTTAATGTGTAAAGCAAGACGCAAGAGTATGGATGAGTTTTTTTCCATGTTTTCTAAAAAGGATTATGTAGGCAACGATGATAAAGTAGGCGACATGTTAGAAGACATCATTCAATCGTTAATAAAATAAAAGGAATTAAATAAAATCGTGTCATTTTTGTATAACTCGCTTTTAGCAATCATGTTCAAGTGTGTGGAACCAGGATTTTCGTTCAAATCCCCTTCCAATATTTTGATTGTGGGCCCTACAAGTTGTGGAAAAACCACCTTTCTCCATCACCTACTTTTGGAAAGTTTAGACCTCTTTGACGAAAGACCGCCCCGCGTGCATTACTGTTATGGATCCTGGCAAAATAAGTTTGACGACATGCAACGCCATGGCATAGAATTTTTTAAAGGAGTGCCTACCCACGACGATTTAACAACATGGTTTGGAGATAAACGAGGGGGTATTCTTGTCTTGGATGATCTCATGTCGGAGGGAGGAGATGACAGAGAAATACTTAATCTTTTCACACAATATTCTCACCACATGAATGTCACCGTGTGTTATCTCTGCCAAGACATGTTCCCTCAAGGAAAATATGCCAAGACCATCTCTAGGAATGCGCAATACATTATTGCCTTTAAAAATCCTAGAGATAAAGTGGCGTTGCGCGCCTTACTGCTACAGATATACCCGACCAAGTGGCTACCTGTCATGGATATATATAACGCATGTACGGACAGACCCTATGGTTATTTGTTATTTGACGTACACCCTGCAAGTAGAGATTCTACGAGACTTTTAAGTCACTTGTTACGACACGAAGGGTGTGTACGCTGTTACAGAGAGAAATAAATAAGAAAGATGCCTGATTATAAGCGCAGTATGCCCACAACCCGAAGGAGAAGAAGAGTGAAAAGAAGACTAACCAAAAGAGGACAAAAAGGAGGTATCCTACCATTAGCGGCACTCATTCCAGCCCTCATTGCTGGAGGTAAAGCATTGGGTTTAGGTGCCCTTGGAGGAGCTGCATCGTTTGGGGCTAAAAAAGGCCTAGAAGCTCTTACAAAGAAAAAGCGATGATTAATAGTTTCAAGAGAAATGTGGATTTTTTAAAATCTATTTTACAAGAGAAAAATAGAAAGCGTCGTATGGAAAAATTACTTCACGCTAGTAAAGATCAAATCAATGCCGTCAGTGAATTCACGTTGAACATGTTGAAGAAAAAGATACCTTTATCACCGCCCACCGTTGCCAAACTCAAGAAATATAGAGTGATGTTGAGAGAGTTGGGTAAACGGAGGAACTCTTTAAGAAAGCGGCGTCAATTACTTGTGAATCAAACAGGCGGTAGCTTTTGGAGTGGTATGAACGACGCGTTCTGTCAGTGTTTCAAGAGATCATGACTGTCACCGTGCAAGAGGGTATAAACGAAGTGGACACGGGTATAAAGTTTGATTTGCAATTCAACTACGACGACGACGACAGTGACTATAAGGATTCAACCGAGTGTAGACTCACAATAACTCAACTGTTTCGGTGGTTGCGTATGCGTGTGGTGGAACCCTTGTGGCGATTATGGAGACGTTCTTAATGGTGAAGCCCGATGAGTTTCGAGCTTTGGTAGATTATTACAAGTGAAAAATTACTGAAAGTACTCTTCTGGACAAAGCCGCACGCGTGGCCGCCGAAGCAAAACTGTTATTAGAAGATACATCTACTCCTGCTGCTTTAAAAGAACCTGTGGTAAAAGAATTGTTAATGCAAGAACGCAAGCTTACTGACAAATTGAGACAGATTCCTATCGCCGGTGGTGTAGAACCTCCACCTCGAGACGATGATGGTAATCTCATGGAGGGGTTGCAAGAGGGATTGTTAAAAGAACTCATTAAATCCATAAATATGAGGGGACAAGCCGCCGTACCTCAGATGACACTCAAGAGGGAACCTGTCACACCTGTGGGGATCAAGAACGAACCCGTCACCCCTGCGAAACCGGGAACGTCCAAGATTCCTTTTCTCACAGCTCCATCCCAAAAGATACAAAAAACGAAACGAAAACTTCCTGTTCCCACACCGCAAAAACATCGCACGGAGTTGGAACGACTCAAAGAATTTGGTAACTGGGAACCTTGGGAAAAGAGAGGTTACGACCCGTATCAAGTGTTTGAAGATGACGAAACGCCAAAGTCGAAGAAAGGCAAAGGGAGGGGCAAGAACCGTCCAAGCTAAGGCTAAAAGGAAACGACAGAGAGGAGGAAAATTTGATATTCAGAAATGGATTTCAAAGTTAGGTGTCGAGTTTCATTGGCCCGGATACCAGTATATGGGTCCAGGTACAAAATTAGCCAAGCGATTAAAACGTGGTGATCCAGGAATTAATCGTCTTGATAGATTAGCCAAACAGCACGATATTGATTACAGTAAAGCTAAATCACTCGCTGACAAACATATTGCAGATCGTAAGATGGTAGCCGGAATCGATAAGTTTCCAGGCAAGAAGAGTTTAACCGAGCAAATTGTGAAGCGAATCATGCAAGCTAAACTTAAAACAAAATTGTAACGCCTCTACAATGATGAAATAAAACTTGTGAAAATGCAACACAGTGTGTCTCCGGTTCATTCGTAGTTGTGTCGTTATCGAGAGCACATCATGTCAGGTAATACTTTTTACTTGACGTTACCCAGTAACGATGGGAGTCTGAAATATTTTCCAGACAACAAAAACAATTCTTGGAAAAATCGATTAGACAAACGCATCGATTTAGAAGGAGAGTGGGAAGTGGGATTGAGTAGTATTTCGCTTCCACACGATTCTAAGGTGTCCAGTTACCTCAAAGGATTAAAAGACGATGATGTCTTGCTAACCACAGGACGAATTAAAGTAGCCACTGGGGATACACAACATAAAGTGACTTACAATGTCACGTATGGAGACATCAAACAACATCGTATCGAGACAGTTCACGATTTACTCAAATCCTTGTTTGATGAAGAACGTTTAAAATGTATTATGAATATGGGCTCGGCGTTGGGGAGTCATTTTTCTTCAGGACACAGCGCACAATTTGAAGTGATTGCGGACGAGGATAAAGAAACGATTACTGTGACAGCAGACAAGGTAAAATCGACTGATATAACTCATCAAGAAGTTCGTGACGGTCTCTATTTTGAGTTACCTCGAGACATGTGTGAGTTGTTTGGTTGGACGAAAAAAACAACAGTGCGTTATCGTCCTATTGTTAGTGGTCCTATTGAAGAGAATCGTAATGTATCACGACCTGCGCATAATCTCACAGTGACCAAACGTAGTACGGTGTGGAGTTATGATAGGAGGCTTACTACATCCAGTTTGGCGTATTACAGATATGAGATCCCATGGAAAGACCGATTTGCGGAGAAATATCATAGATTTCTTCTTAGCGATCTGAACTGGACCTTTATCAATACTAAGAGAAGTACCTACTTAAATTTACCTTACCCACGAACCTTGTATATGTATTCCTCGCTTTGTGCTCCAGTACGCATGGGAGATCAGACGACTGATCTTATACGTCAAATACACTACCAACCAATCTTGGAAGGAAATTATTATTACGAACCCAAGCAGATTCATTACATCAAGTTACGTAAGAATCACATCGATGTGGTGGAAACACAGATAAGTGAGTCGGAAAATAATAATTTGGCTCAGTTTACAGACGGCGCTTCTATCGTCACACTTCATTTTAGACGCGTACGTTAACGCATGGATGCCGCCGCCCAGGAAAAGGACAGAGGAGGAAAATGTCCATTCCATCCACTTACTTGCAAATGTCCTTCACGTCACGAGTGGCAAGACAATATTGAAAAGGAACTACAA